AATACCTTATATATATATATATATATATATATATACGTGTGTTATCTAAATTCGTTTAATCAATTTATTTTACTTTCTTAAGCTATAATTCAAAGATGAGTTCGAACACATATAAACAATTTAGTCGCATTTTATTCCAATAATGCAACTTTATAAAAAAAATAAATTTATTTGTATTTAATTTTACTTCACTATTGAGCTATTAATTTTCTTTTTTATAAACAATTTCCTTTTATTTTGACATGTAAGAAAAGAGACACTTCATATCTCTTAATTTTTTAAAATAATAAAAATAAAATAATAAAAATAAAATAATAAAAATAAAATAATAAAAATAATAATAATAAAGTGAGTAGTTATTGATAGAATGTGGGAAAGTTTTTGATTTTTTCTTGGTTCATTACCAATGTGTATTTCATATCGAACATGGAGACAATCTTCTTTAGAGGTTTTATAAGTACGAAATGGGTAAATATTTCTTCCCAACTTTCGAGCTTTGACCACATGATTAAGTGGCATAAGTCACTTGTTATTCGTGCCAATCCAAGTTGGTAGTTTTTTATTCTTTAGAATTTTTAAAAAATAAAAATAAAATAAGAGAAAATAATAAAGTGATTAGTTGTATGTACCAAAAAAAAAAGTGATTAGTTGCTGAAAGATTGAAAGTTTCTAATTGTGTAAGAAAATACATTAAAAAATTTCTTGATTTTTTAAATTTCCCTAAGCAATTAAAGAGATAATGGTCTAACCGAAAGTTGAAACTAAAATCGATTATAAAGAGAGATATTCCATTTATATATTGGTATAGATAATGAAATATAACCCTTTCTCACTGAAATGATCTGTTTAAGAGTTTAGTAATATCTTTGATCATAATTCCATGTCCAAAGTAAAAATTAATGTTGATCTTTAATTAAGAAATACAAGTGCATAACAATATTAAAAAATCATTTATTTGAACAAAACAATTAAGAAATCGATGCTTTCAATTAAAAAAATTCTACGTGACAAATAAAATATATATTATATTCATTGTATTCTACTTCACCATTATCACATAGGTAAATTGATTTTAAAGTTCTTTTAGAAAAAATTTCAAAACTCACTTAACTGTTGTTACTTCATCATACTTTTTACGTGCACCTTTTTTGGACTATGAATGTCGCATCTTGGTTATCATTGGTACCACCAACCTCTCTTCTCTGATGAGATGAACCACTAGTCTTTATTGTGACTATCACAGTAGGTGGTGACGATCTTAATGGTTTTGAGCCAATAGATACAATTCTTCTTAGCCTTGGAGGAAGGTAACATTGACTATGGGGCCAACAGAGTGATGGGCGCTCTTTTGGTGCATGAAGTCCTACATGATAAGGGAGTAGTCGAGGTGAGGTCAAACTCCATGGTGAGGTGATTGTCGGTATCAATCATTGCAAGGCGAGCTCGATGTTGTTGTTGAGATTATGGATTGTGAAAAATTACTCATGAGGGGATTGAAGTTTGGATTGAAAGGTTTAGGATTTGTAGTATCAAATAAGGGTGTTCATAACCAATCCAATGTTAATTGCATAAACAAAATCAAAAAAATTTGAAAATCAAAAATTTGAAAATTAAAAATTTGAAAATCAAAAATTTGAAAATTGAAAAAAATAAAATTAATTGGATCGAATCGATTTTTGATTCCAATAAAAAACTCAACCTAATAAAAATCAAACTAAACATCTCTCTCTCCCTCTCTCTCTATATATATATATATATTTATTTATTTATATTTTTTGATAGATTATCTCAATTTATAATTTTGTATATTATGACTTATATTATTATTATTAATGATATTAATAATTATTTTTTGCCTATAAAAATATATAGCTTTTTTTCATTAAAATATTATAGGTATATTTGACTTTTAAATTAAAATTGATTTGACGATTAATGAAAAAAATTGAAAAAATTGAGTTAGATAATTTTCTCTCTCAAAATTGATCACATCCAATCCGCGAATACACCTAGTATTGGATTTAGGTTGGAGAAGGAAAATGCGATCATGAAGATGAAGATAGGATTTGGAAGTTATTTAAAAATTTTATCCAATTCTTTTAAAAATTAATTTACCTACATGATAATAGTGAAGTAAAATATAACAAATATAATATATATTCTATTTTTTACATAATTCTTTTTAATGATAATTAATGATAATGACTATTTTAAAACATTGTAAAATTTAAAATAAAATAATAATAAAAATTAGAAAAACCAAAAAGTGAAAACGCGATAAACCACATGCACAAAAATTATATTTAAACTTTGTCATTATTGTAAACATCCATCTATTCTACCAAAAATATCTAGGACTTCATGGTTTTCTTAAAAAAAAAAAAACTGCTGTTTTAATTTATTATCCATTTAAATTTAAAAAAAAAAACAAATTTTGTTTTCTGTTAACTTTATTTACCAAAAAAAAAAAAAAACCGCAACCATCATGTGAAAATGACAGTCGCATAAGTCATAACTATAAAATACACAAGGTGCTTAGCTGTGCCACGTGGCAGATAATTACGGTCTTATACTTTTTTTTTCTTTTAAAAATATATTTGAAGAGGAAATTTAATACATTCAATTGACTTATTTCGGTCAATACTTTATATTTTATATTAAATATTAATGATTTTAATTAAAGTTTTTAATATAAAAATCAAGTTTATAAATTTTTAAAATTTTAAAAATTATATGATATTTTCCATTAATTTAAATTAATTAATAGTTATAAAAGTATTTTTTAAAATTAATTTGAATTTAATAATAAATTTTCAAAATTTTAAAAATATATAAATTTAATCTATATATTAAAAAAAATTAACATAAAATATAAATTAATAGGTTATTAAGTAAACTAACTGTATGCATATTATTACAAATAAATCTCTCCTGGGGAATACTCCATATATGTACTAGATGCAGGAGAAATTAATAAGCTTAAGCTCTTGAACTTGATTCAAAGACAAAATCATCAAAGAACTCAAGCAGCCATGGATTCCACAAGTGGAGCTCCTATGCACATAGCAATATTTCCATGGTTTGCTATGGGCCACCTAACCCCAACACTTCACCTATCCAACAAGTTAGCACAGAGAGGCCACAGAATCTCCTTCATACTTCCAAAACGAACACAAACCAAACTACAACACCTCAATCTTCACCCACACCTCATCACCTTTGTCCCCATCACAGTTCCTCGTGTTGATGGCCTTCCCCACGATGCTGAAACCACTTCAGACTTGCCCTTCTCTTTGTTCCCACTTCTCGCCACAGCTATGGACCGTTCAGAGAAGGACATCGAGCTTCTCCTAAGGGATCTGAAGCCACAAATTGTTTTCTTCGATTTCCAACACTGGCTACCCAACCTGACTCGGACCCTAGGCATCAAGAGTGTCATTTACTTAATAGTTCATCCATTATCAACAGCATACCTTGGAAACGGACCAAGAAAGAGCCAAGGAAAAGGTTTAACTGAACTTGATCTAATGGAACCGCCTCAGGGTTTCCCCGATTCATGTATCAAGTTTCAGCCTCATGAACTGCGATTCCTCGTTTCCGTGAGGGAAATCGAGTTTGGAAGTGGTGTTCTTCTGTACGATCGGTTACACAAAGGTTTCAGTATGGCAGATGCAATTGGATTCAAAGGCTGCAAAGAAATTGATGGGTTATATGCGGAGTATCTTGAATCTGTGTATGGGAAGCCTGTTCTACTTTCAGGGCCTCTTTTACCTGAGCCACCAAATTCTACTTTGGAGGAAAAATGGGTTGCATGGCTTGGGAGATTCAACCCTGGTTCTGTTATTTTCTGTGCATATGGAAGTGAAGCCCCGTTATCGCAAAATCAATTTGAAGAGTTGTTGCTTGGTCTTGAACTAACAGGTTTTCCATTTCTTGCAGCACTTAAGCCCCCTAATGGATTTGACTCTATTGAAGAAGCATTGCCACAAGGGTTCAAAGAAAGGGTTCAAGGAAGAGGGATTGCTTATGGAGGTTGGGTGCAGCAACAATTGATTTTGGAACACCCTTCTGTGGGGTGCTTCATAACGCACTGTGGAGCTGCTTCTGTTACTGAGGCACTTGTGAATACGTGTCAGTTGGTGCTGCTGCCACGACTTGGTACTGATCATATCAGCAATGCAAAAATGATGAGTAGAAAGCTAAAGGTTGGGGTGGAAGTGGAGAAAGGGGAAGAAGATGGGTTGTTCACAAAAGAAAGTGTATGCAAAGCTGTGAAAACTGTGATGGATGATGGGAATGAGGTTGGAAGAGAAGTGAGACAAAATCATGCCAAGTTGAGAAACTTCTTACTAAGCAACAACCTAGAGTCGGCATGTGTGGATAGTTTCTGTCACCAACTTCAACATTTATTATAATTTCCGATCGACAAGCTTTTCAGTTGTTTACAAATAAATATGTTAGAGGAGTGTTGTGCTTGATGAATAGAAGTCACTCTTATTTTTTCAAATTTTCGACTAGTAATATATGGATTCGTAAGAGTGTAGGAGAGTATAAGTATATATTCTACAAATTCCAAGCGAAACAAATTGATTTAATGATCAATTTTATTTTTTTTAGAATTCGGGTCAACTTTGATTTTTGTATAGATTAGATAATGAATTTTATGTTTTTTTATTTATAATTTAATTTGATTTAATAATGATAATAATAATAAATTAATTTGTCATCATTTGTTTAAAATATTTTATGTTACTTTTATTTCATTGACGAGTATTATATTTTTTTACTTGTAGTATTATTAATAATATGAATATTTATTTTAAATTTTATTTTGTATTAATATTGATTGTTAATTTCAATTGATAATAATGTAATAAGTTTATTTTAAAATTTAATTTATATTATTTACTTTATGGTTTAATAATATTAAATTTATAATAAAATATTAAATCATTTATATTTATTATAAATATTTAAATTTTTATAATTAAATTAATAAATTTAATTGTGTTAATCCGATTGACCTAATCCATTAATCTAATATGTTTGTATTATTGGATTCAATTGTATTGAGTTGGATTAAAAAAAATGTATAAATTCAATTTAAATCAATCTTTTTAAATTTTGATTGAATTGGATAATGGATTCATTCAAACTTAACTTGCTTACATTCCTAATTCTAAGATATACAATTCATTGTCACTTGATTCACCATGTAAATGGATGATAATGTGAGTTGAATTTGGTAGCTCAACTTGTTAATTAGTCTATATTTTGTGGGTTGAGTTGGAAAAAATAAATCTACCAACCATCTAGCCCACACCCGTCCAACCCGCTAATATGATGGATTAATTTGTCAATTCATTTTTTTTTATTTTATACTTTTAAAAGATAATTTTATAGTGGATTTATGTTGAATCAATATTTTATTTTATAGCTTAACTTCTTTTTTTAAGTAATTGTTCTCATTTATATGAAATAGAAGTATATTGTTTTAGTTAACTAATTTTTACTAGTACATTTTATGTAGTTTCTTTTTTTAAAATAGAAATATATATTACTTTGACCATTTGCATAAAAGAAAACAACATTTTTAATTAATTTTAGAAATAATAATAAAATTATATCTTAAAATAATACTATATATTGAAATATTTCAAGTGAAATCTTAAAAAAATATTAGGTAAGTTAATAATGTGTCAACTTATCAACCCAATATTTTTAACTCATCTACTTTAAGTATATCAACTCGTCAATTCATCAATCTTTCACTAAATGGAATAAGTTAAAATTTTTAATTTATTGATAGATCAAACCATCTCACCTTTTATATATATATATATATATTTTTTATATATATTTATTCAGTGTACATAGTTCACTTTTGTGTGCAGATAAAATATTTTAAAACAGGTATCATTGCATACTTGAATAGTCATAAATATATATTCCTATGATCATGTTGTATACAATACCTGTTAATACCAGGTTAATGTCAAAATTCAGGGATGTGCACGCTTCCATGAGTGTGGTATGGAAGAAAAAAGAATATATATATAATTTCATATTTATATTAATAAAATTATATCTTGCTTATTGAATAATTATTATAAATTATAAATCTTTATTAAAATTATTAATATAAAAAATTGTATTATACATAATTATATACTGCGAGAATGACACAGCTGGACCAGTCACTCGTGTTCTGTCTTTTCTGCTGCCATGCTGTAAATTTTTTACTTTGGTTCCTTCCTCCTCTTTAGGAGATCCACTCAATCGAAAAAAAAGTGTAATATTTTAAAATTATGAGGCGAAATGCGAGAAGAATAATATAGCATTTATTGTCTTTGAACATATCCTGATATTTCATTATAGCCAACAAATGCTATCTTCTCACGTACCAAATTCCATCTTTATCAATTACAAACCGATATCTCTTTTATTTTAATTTCTTTACAGAAAATTTTCAAAATAATAATATCAATTCATATGTATTAGTTTATTTCATTTAATAAAAATGTTTATGAGTAATAATAATAAAATAAAAATATTGTATTGGTTTTTAAGATGACAAAATAAATTAAATGAAGTTTTATATTTTGTTTTTTCTCAAAATATAGTTTTCAAATATTAAGTTATTCACAATTAATTTTTTTATAATTATAATATTGGTACAAAGTATTTATCATTATGTATTGAGGTAATCATATATCTCATTATATTTATATCATTCAATTTATTCTTTTTTATTTTTAATTTTACTTTTGATAAAATGAGTCAGATTTTTTTTAGATTAACTCAAATCTATCCAATAAATTATAGGGTTTGAATTCTAAGTTTCAAACTTGAATTTAATGTGAATCTTTACTTGATCCGGTAAAATCCGTGTTATAAATAAGCTCAATTAATCCATTTTCTTATTTCACTTTGTTAAGTAGCTAATTTTTTTATTATTAATTAAGTGAAAAAGACTAAATAAAATTATACCTTTTATAAATTTATGTCAAAATGCTTAAATATTATATATATAGATATTTTTCACTATAAATAGATAAGATTAACATATTATATATATATAAGTATTTTTTATATTAAAAATAATTATAATATTTATCACATTTTCAAGTTTTAATCTTTCTTAAATGCAATAATAGAATAAATTAATTATTTATATTTATTTATTATATTAAAATAAATGTATCGATGAAAATAATTATCCTAATATAGTTATTCAACTTGAATTTTGAAAAGAAAAAATATAAAACTACCAAAATTAAAATATTGGGCAGACTTTAAAAGAACACAACCCGTATATAGGAAAGCTTAGGTATTAATTTAGAAAATCAAATTAAATTTGGACATTTTTGACCTAGTCCGTTGTAACTGATAACTTACATTGGATTGGTTAATAATGAGTCAAATAACCTATTTTGCCAACTTTACTTGCACTCTACCTTAGTACACTTGGAATGAGACATATATTTTGGAAGTGCTTGGTATATGAAATCATTTTTCATCCCTAAAAGTCATAATTCATATGAATTATTTTTCTTGAAAATTATGTTTCCCAAAAATGTTACAAAAATGTGTTTAGTATGTCAAAAATATTTTCATAAATAAAAGATATAACTATATATATATATATATATATATATATATATATATATATATATATATATTTTATATTTAGAAATATT